ATTAATTATATTAAATTTATTTTATTTGTTTTGTATAGCCGGGATACTATGGTTCAAAAGGATTAAATGTTATTAGCGATGTACTTTCAGAACTTTTCTTATTTAATAACATTTTAACATACGATTTAACTCATCCTAAAAATCCAGTGAATTTTTTGCAAGAAGTTTTAGTTCCTGAGACTGCATTATGTTTAATTTCTCAGGACAAAGGCAATATAGCACTTGAAGAAGCTAGAAAAATCATGGAAGATAGCGGAGACTTTGGTGCTTATGTACATAGAGAATAGTCTTTAAATAAAATTAATATAAAAGAAAAAAGAAGAATGCTGTGCTTTTATTATTATTTATTGCTTATTACATGTGAATTTGTTATTAAACTAATTTAACGTTAAATAAAAAAAAGTACAATTTGTTTTAGCTCTATAATAAAACAACTGCTTATTCATAAAGAATTTTTCAAATATTTTGAACTTTGAAAAAAAATTCGCGTCGACGTTATGTTCAATTTTGGACCAATCAAATCAGAGGGGAGTCTACACCCCCCAGGTCTAGGATAAAATCTACACCCGGGGTACAGGTTAAGGATCCATCCCCCCAAAAAAAAAGCGGCAATATCACGTGATATGAAATTGATTCCACGTGACTTGGTTTTAGTCGCGAATTACATAAATAGTAATGTAAATCATACACGAAAACGGTTGGAATTTTTTTATTTAGTTCCTCTTGTGGTTTGTCTTTCACTGTCAAAAATGTCTCATCAAAGAATTTTATCTCGTGGTTCAGAAAACCGCAGGTATCGTAGTTTACTTTCCAAAGAAAAATATAACGAAAATCTGAAGAAAGAGGGTGATATAAACAAGGAAGATTCTTCTAAACCCACAAAGAGAGAAACATTACGTGAAGTAACATATGAACATACAAGATTTAGCACCACCAACAACATAAATGAGCGTAAAGTAAATTATAAATCCTTTCGAGAAACAACTTTTGGAAAGGGTTTATTATCATCTACTAAAAATGAAACCATTGAGAAAATCAAACCTTCTCTCGTCACAAATAACTTTTTCACAGAATTATCTAAAGAAAAATCAAGTATACAACCAAAGATCAACAATAAACAAATCAACACAGTTGATAAAGTTGAGGATGTTAACAATAGGAATGATAATATTCTTAAAAATATTTATTCCAAAGTTGACAAGATTGTTGAGGTTGAAAATTATTTTGAAAATCTTTATGGAAAAGATGGAATTAAAGGCATGATTGTTGAATTTTATGATCTTGAATCGATTAAAGAAAAAAGTTTTCACCTTCCTGAATGGCTTTTAAAAGATAATTCCGAAGAACTCTTTAAAGCAGAATTACCGCCTCAAGACATTACGGTATATGATCTTTGGTTTTTTAGGAGAAAGAATGAAGGTGCACCCAGTTTTGTTCACAAAGGAATCAAGCCAATTTCCAATGCTGATATTTTATCACATTTGGAAAAGATTTATACCTGTTCTCATGAAGAAAAACGATTAGATACAAATAAAATTGGATCAAAGATGATTCACATTATCTTGAATGATTTGAGAAAGGTTAATAATTATATGTTGTATATTGGAAGTGAAACGCGATATCCCAATAATGTAATGGAGAAAACTCCAAAGCTTATCGAGAAACTTGAGAAGGTTTTGAAAAGGATTCGCTCATATAACACCTATGAATTTGTAAATATAGCTAATGATGAAAAGGCGATTAAATATACTAAAGAATTATTGGATATAGCTTTGATGAACTTTAACGTGAGAACTAGAGAGAACAGCAAGAATCGTACAATGTTTAGGAAAGTTTGGAAAGAGACGAATAAAGAACTGGAAGCAATCATCGAAAAGTATTTTCTTGGAAACAAAAAGGTTGGTTAACGCGTCATTTTAGTATTTTAATCAAAATTTTTTTTACCATCAATTACAAAATGGTACTAACGATACAAATAATAAAAATTACAGTATGCGCGACAATAAAACTACGCTAATCTATTCATATTAATTCTATTTATATTGATTTTAATTGTTGTTCTTAATTTTGCTAGTTCTAAATTTAAATTATAACAAACGTTGCACAATTCCTCTTTTTCATCTCTTCTCTCCTTACCGCTATTATTATACATCCCCCAAATTTTTTTTAAATCTTCGATAATGATTTCAAGATCTTTATTAGCTTTGGTGTAAATACAATAATAGTTATGAATTTCATTGACCGACATGACGAATCCTTTTAAATGAGAATAGATGTTTACTGCTTCATTCGTCAAAGAAATCAAATTTTTGGTGAAATTTAAAAAGATAACAGGATCTTTCTTTTGTTTAATGATTAATAATTGAATAAAGTAATTAATGTAAGCAATATAATTCAATAAATCGTAATGAAGTTTATGTTGTATATGCAGGTCATTTTCTTTTAGTTTTAAATTATATCGTTTCTTAATTATTTCTTTGGGAGATTCTTTGGGAGATATTTTAGAACTTTTAAAAAAACGAAGCGAGTTGAAATTCATGATTTATATATATATTGTAAATATACGATATATAAGTTTTTTTTATTTCGAGAAAAGTCGAATATTTTTTTGCCACCACCAAGGTAATAGAAATGTTATGGTATGCAAATTATGTAAAAAAGAATTTTTTGAAAAAAAAATTTTTTTATCGCAATAATAAATACATACACTTCTAATATTTTTATATACAGTGAATTTTTTTTTATTTTACTTACTTATAAAGTTAATGAATGACAAAAAAGAAATAAAGATTTCCTTTTTTATTAAAGAAATTATTAGTTGAAAATCAAAATGATGATAAAAAAAAAAAACTTCTTTCAAAATTATCAAATGCATTAATTGTTTAATGTTTTTAAAGATTAAATAAACTAAATAAATATTCCTAGATATTTATGATTAAATTATCATTATAAATCTTATAAATCGGAAAAGCAAAAAAATTTTAAGGGTCCTTCTGGGTTTCCGTGATTCCAATTTCAGACAAACCCTTTTGTCGTTTTATTTCTTTTACTTATTTTTATTTTTTTTTTTAGGATTTTCGAGCTGCTGCTTAATGTAGGTTTTTCTTTTCCTTTTTTTCTTTCTATTTTCATTTTTTTATTTATATTATTTTTTTATTTTTAATTTCGAATTTATTTTATTCAGTTTTCGGCAAATAAGTACTTATTTTAAGTTTATTTTTTTTTATTTTTATTTTTTTTTTTAGTTTTATTTTATTTATCGGGTGCTGCGTCAATTAAATAAGAGATTGTATTCATTTTCGTTTTCATTTATTTTTTTCTTTTTTTAAACTTCAGACCAAAGTGATCCAACCTGAAAAAAAGCAAAAAATAATCATTCAATTAGAACATGTTAAAAACATTCACTTTTTAATTTAAAACAGCAGAAAGCAAATAGAAAAGGAACTCATACCTTTACGAGTTACCTGTATAATGATTCTATTTAAAAGCTGACTTTTTTAAATATTTTCAAATCTTAATTATAGAGAAAAGGAATCGTTAATTTTTTTTATTATAATCGAGTAGCAAAGAAAAATAAATAAAATAAACAGTTAAAAATCATAAAATTTTTTATAATTAAAATAAATTGCTTATGTACAGTACATTACATGTAGATAATGGATTCTTCATATTACTTATATTACTTTAAAATTCACTTGTATCTGAAATTCTGTCTGAAGTTTATTTCAGATATCTCAATTTCAGACAACCTCATGTCTGAAATTCAGATTCTGTCTGAAGTTTAATTTCAGATATCCCAATTTCAGATGAGAAATTGATTATTAAAGCCATGGTAAATAATCAAAATGGGTATGAAGTTATAGTTCAAATATCACCAGCAAATTCCTCTTCTTAGTTGAATTACAAAGCGATACTGATATTCTTAAAGATATAGAAAACAACACTACTTGAAGTTAGAAGAATTAGGAATACCCAAACTAAACTTCTAAATGATAGTGCTGATAAAGCAGTTAAATTTTCTATGGTGGTTTCTTTCAAAGGTTTACATTTTTTTTTCTTTTTTTTTCTTTTTTCTTTTTTTTTTTTGCTATTTTAGTTTTATTTTATTTTATTTTTTTTTTCAGGCCCCCTAATATGACAGAGTTTGCAAATAAATAAATAAATAATTCGAATTCAAGTTTTTGATATTCAAATATCGAAAATAAGTGGAAAGCATCTTTAACTAATATCAACTGCAATGATTCAACTTTCTTAAAATTTTGAAAATTAGATATTTATTAGAATGAAAATAGAAAAAAAATTTCTGAACGACATGTTTGATTTACCATTTACTTTTTGCAAAATGACCACGGTAATTGTTCTTGTTGACAGTCATCCACGAAATCGCGAATTTTCGTAACATGGAAAACTTTACGATTGTGAATTTTTCCGTGAATTTGTTCAATAGCTTGTCATATACGCACTGCAAAGTTCCTGCCTGTTCTACAGCTAACCTCTTGGCTCGAATCCGATCATGAAAGTTCGTATACACCAGGATCTATTAAATAGATAATTTTTTCTTATTATATAAATATTACAATAAATTCAATAAATTCGAAACGAGAGATACAGTATCTACCTGAAAATAAGTTAAAATCTTGATAAAAAAAATTGCGTCTTAGAACAAACCCGTTCGAGTCTCCTATGAACCAAGGTTAACGATTACGTAATCAACGAGAAGAATAAAAAAAAGAACACATCAAAAATCCAAATACGAATAGTTTAATCAGATCTTTATATCGAAGGTGGCTGATAACTTTGAGGACGATTAGTAATTTCGAGCGGACGATTCATGTGCTTTTTTGATGTCAGCTTGCTTTTCCTTGTCGATTGAAGTTTTGAGAATACATAAATCCATCATATCAATGATGATTAACGGAAATATTCCTTTGATTAATGAGAGGGACGTTCATCCTTCAGTTGATGCGAATGTATTCCAAGGTATCATCGGTTATGGTCCAGAGAAACAACGCAGAAAACATCGTTCGAATTCTAAATAAAGTGAGGTATCATAAATTTCTGTCAGGAAGGGTAACATTACAAATCGTAATATTCTCGAGAAACCTTTTCCTTACATAATCATACATAATCATGTATGACGCAGTTATGTAAGTTGTTTTTGAGCATGGCAATCCATTAATGCGTCCTACATACTTTAATTATGATTACACAATGGAAATCCCGAAATGCAAAAGGTTTGATGACGCGTAATGACCCTATTTAATAAATTAAATAAAATCATTTGGACAAAACGATTCCTTACCATTTCATCAAATGATTAATTATTTTTGATTCCTTCCTTTTATTACTCAAAGTTTTTAAGATCTGTAGTTATTGATCCAACAATGTCTGTCAATAAATTGCTTCAAAGTTCTGAAAGAATGGAATTATGATTATGGATGGTTTCTGACCAATCCAAAAACCAACACAGATTATGATGGTTATTCCGGTTATTTGAAATTTGTTATATCTGAAAAAAAAAAAATGCTTGCTACTTACCGTTCAAAATCCCGGAATTTTTTTTTTGAGATTGTGACCGCATTTTCAGATATTGTAATCACCCGGTCGCGCAATCGAGGATACCAAATGCATTATCGCCTTTTATGAACGAAAGTAGTCGAAAGTATGATGAGTTTTTAGTCCTTTTAGAAACTTAACAATTCTTTTATTTAGTTATTGAAGGATGATTTTTTTTCCTGCTTAATTGGTAATTTCGACAATGCATGCCCAAAAATAATCGTAACTTGATCGTAATTTAATCGTAATTTAATGACAATGGTTGATAATTTATAAAAATGTAACAAAATGCGACGATATCTTTATATAATATTTACGAGGATATGAGATGATTAGGAAAAAATCGAATTCTGGGAATTTTTTCAAATTTTTATTTTGATGTTTTTGATTATTAATAAATGAAATCTTAAATTAGTTCAAAACCTGATTGTCCTAACAATCATCCATGTGATATATATTAAAAAAAAAAAAAAAAATTCAGTTTCAGCCGTTAATAAGAAAAAAAAATTTTTTAAATCGAAATTGGCTTACTTAATTTTTTGTGGAAATACTTTTTTTACCTTTGCAACATTCGATTGTTTTCGGTGAAAAAACGGGATACTTAACCGATAACACAACCGAGGATGTTCGGAGTCCTCCAAAAACTATGTATCCGTCACATTGAATGCATGTACATTAATGTATGCAATCTATCCCTAAAAGATTTCGCTCTAATCAATGTATTTGGTTAGATTAGATCACATTCAAATCGACAGGTTCTAATCGTTATTTCAAATCATAAAGATCTATAAAAAAAAAAAAAAAAATCGTCAAAAAAGGCGCGTTTTCAAATTTTTTTCAGAATTTTTTTTTTTTTTTTTCGGTTCAGCATTTCACAATTTAAATAGGACAAAAGTATTTTTTTTTTTTTTTTATTTTTATTTTTGTTTGACACTAAAAAATTATATTATTTCAAAACAGGACCGGTAACGACGAAGAATGGTAATAATAATAATAATAATAATGTAATAATTAATAATGTTATTATTAAAAAAGAAAAAAAAAAAAAAAAAAAGTAATGAGATGATAATATTTAACGACGTAAAGTAACACATTTTCTTGTCATAAAAAAAATACAGTCTGGCAATAAAAAAAGAGGAGGTGTGACTTGAATAATAATAATAATAAATAAAAGAGAAAATTAAGTTTAAAAAAAACAATGGGTTGATATGGCATATAAAATAAAATATTTTCGCTATGAAAAAAAAAATTAATGGAATTTAAGGAGGCAAAATAGTTCAATTTATATGTCATATTAACAATACAGAGAGATATATATAAAAAGAATAAATAAATAAATAAATAATTCTAA